TTCCAGTTTTTCTCCATTTAGAATGATGTTGGCTGTGGGTTTGTTATATATGGCTTTAATTATGTTGAGGTATGTTCCCTCCAGTCCAATTGAGAGGGGATTTTTTTTGGCTCACGGTTTTAAGGAATATAGCCCATCATTGTGGGAAAGGCCAGCATTGTGGCAGTAGGCGTATACAGTGGGTGCTTCCTCTTCACATCTTAGCAGGACAGTAGGAAGAACAGGATAGGAGGCAGGTCCACACTATAAAGACCTTCCTCTAGCTAGTCCCTACCTTCCAAAGGCTCCACAGCTTCCCCCAAACAGTACCACAAGCTGGGGACCAAGTGCTCAAAGACATAAGCCTGTGTGAACATTTTGCATCCAAACTGTAACATCCATGGTGGCACACGCCTCTAATCCTGGCACTTACCAGGCTTAGGTGGGAGGATGATGAGTTTAAAGCCAACCTGGGCTACATAGTAAGGATCTACCCCCCCCCCAAAAAAAAGAAAAAATTAGCTTTGATGTATTTGCTTTTTAAAATTGGTTTCATTAGTTACTCCTGCAGTTGAAACACAATTTTTGCTTTTAGAGATGCTACCAAATCTAGGTAGGATCACTGTAGCCATTTTTAGTCACTGAGCAGAAACTCTGGGGTAGGTAGAAAGAACGAGGAAATTTGACCATGTAATGTACTATGTGCATTTCTATGCTATATAAATGTATGTAGTACATTTTTAAAATATAGTTCAAGTAATTAATAAAATATGACTTCTAGAAAGAGTAGCATGACTGGTATCAGTTTGACAGAGATTTAAGCCAAAAGATTTAAGGGTGCTGAAATCTATAGAATTTATTTAAAATTTTGCTGCCAAAGTCTTTGAATTCAAATTGTTGGGCTCAGAGTTTAAGAACTCCACAGGACTGGAGAGATGACTCTCTCACAGGACCCAAGTTCAGTTCCTAACATCCATCTCGGGTGGCCACAACTACGTGTAAATCCAGCTCTAGAGGACCTGATGCCTTCTTCTGGGCTTCTTGGGTACCTACACACATTTGGCATACACACACACACACACACACACACACACACACACACACCATGTGCTCACATGGATTCGAGGGCATGTGTGTATGTATGTGGGGTCCGAGGTTGACTTGAAGTGTCATTCCTTAGTTGCATCTCCATCTTATTTTTTGAGTTTGGGTCATTGAACCTGGGATTGGCTAGATTCAACTGGGCTTGCTGGTTTTGTAGACTGGCCATCGAGCCCCAAGGATCCACCTCCCTCTTCCTCCCTAGCACTGGGGTTATAAATTTGCCCCCATACCCATTTATCCATCGGTGCTAGGGCTCAGAACTCAAGTCCTTGTGCTGATGTTACAAGTACTTTATCTACTGACCCATCTCCCCAGCCTTTTTTTAGAAAAATTTGACGTTCATTGAAGAGTATCATTAACTTAATTTTTCTCCCGTTTGAAGATCTCTTGTTCTCCTCAAGGTCTGAAGGTTTGGGTACAAGATACTTCATACTTGTGTAGCCGTGCTGGGCAAGTCCTCCCTGTCCTTATTCAGATGAATGGCTGGATTCACAATGGAAACCTGCTCTGCCCTTCGTGCTGGGACTTCTGTGAGCAGTGTCCGCCAGAAACCGACCCTCCAGCTGCTAACCTGACTCGAGCTCTTCCACTGGGTGAGCAATACCTCTGGAACATGCTTGGTTTTTCCCGATTGCAATTCTATAGGAAAATCCTCCTTCCTGCCATTATTAGAGATCTAAAGTAGGTAACCAACACATTGCTCAGTGTAGCAAGGATGAGGAAAGTTTCCGTATAAAGGACCAGAACTGCGTTGGGCGTAGTGATGCTTGCCTTTAATGCCAGCACCTGGGAAGCAGAGGCAAGCGGATCTCTGTGAGTTCAAGGCCAGCCTGATCTACATAGTGAGTTCCAGGCTAGCTTGGGGCTACAGGGAGACCCTGCTTCAAAAAGACGGAAAAAAAAGGGGGGGGGAGGCTTGCTACATCCACAAAGGAGACAAAGATGCCTGGAGACACAGATATATGTAGAAAATGAGAAAGACATTGGTTTGCAAAGACAAGGTGGTTCTCACTAAAGGATGTTACAGGTTGTCTGTCCCTTATCTGAAATCTTTAGAAATAGAATTGTTGTGGAATTCAGACTTCTTTCTGATTTTGGAATGTTTTCATATACTAGTGAGCCATCTTTGGGATGAGACCTAAATCAAAACCCCAAATTCATTGACATTTATATGCACCTTATATATAAGGCCTGATGGTAATTTTTAGTGTGGCTGTGTTTTGACTGAGCTGTCAGACCAGCTCAGATGTAGACTTTTCCATATGTGGAGTCATGTCTGTGCCCAAAACATTTTGGATTTTGTAGTGTTTTGGATTTCAGGGTTTGGTTCAGGGATGCCCAACTTTTGTATTCATTCTGTAAGCCTCAGGATAGTAGAATTGAGTCAGTAACTGACACTGTAAGGAGACAGACCCATCCTCTGGCTTCAGAAGAATACTTTCTCCATTGCAGGTGTTTACACTGAGGTCTGGATCCAGGACTAAGTTCTAGGAGCAGAATTCATGAATTCTTAAAATGGGACTTAATGGCCTATGTGACTTGATGGCATTTTTTAATATCAACAAGAAATTTTATGTGGCATTTTTTCAGCTGTCAGGTTTTTTTCATTTTGTTTGTTTGTTGGTTTGTTTGTTTGTTTTTTCCTGTCTTTTTGAGACAGGGTCTCCTGTAGCCCTACCTGGCCTGGAACTTGCTATGTAGACCGGGTTGGTCTCAATCTCACAGAGCTCCTCCTGCCTCTTCCTCTGCCTCTGCCTCCTGAGTGCTGGGATTAAAGGCATGTGACACCACTGCCAGCTCAATATTTTTTAAAAATAAAACTACCCGCCCCCTGCCTGTTATGTGGTCTATTTAAAAGTAGAGAGCCATATTCAGTTTACAAATGAGTTTCTACACCTCTAAGGTTAACTTTCTTTCCCAAATCATGGGGGCTTTAACCCCTACTCTCTGCCTAAGGGCTGTATGTAGAGAGTGAGGTTTGTTTCGGTTTTTTTTTTTGGGGGGTGGAGGTGGATAGTCTCTAGGCTGGTCTGGAATTCACTATATAACCTAGGCTGGTCTGAAACTCATAATTCTCTTGCCTCAGTGTCCCAAGTGGTTGGATTATAGGTGTGTTTACCAAGCCTGGGTGCATTTTGGGAGGTTTATACTTGTGTTGGGAGTGCTGAAGACCAACCCCATTTGTTGGATCCCTAGAAGGATTCCCAGGCTTGTACTCAGGGCTTGCTAGAGTGAAAGGATGCAAAGCAAAATCATCAAAGGGAAAGACATACATGGGATGAAGTTCAGAGGAAACTGCTTCCCAGATGCGAGCTCAGGACTGTTCTTGCTGCAGAGCTTCTAAGGCCAGCAGGTGCTGCTGTGTGGAAACTTTCCGCAGCACTCCGGTTAGCTGAATTCTCTGTAGTTACGCTAGTAAGGGTTACTGGTCTAAAAATGGATAATTCTAAGAGTTCCCCCGTCCTCAGACTTGCTCCCAGATTTAACTATAAAAAAATATTACCATCACCATCAAAGAAATAAGCAGGGATTCAGACCTTTAGCAGTTAGAATTGCGATGAAGGGAACATTGCCTAAACTGGTGCCGGGATAAGAACCTTAGTATAGGAGCAGAGTGCAGGAATCGGGAGAAAGCCAAACCCAGTCAAGGGGCTACAAAATAATGACACTCCTGCCCTGGGAGCCTGACAGAGACAGGGGGACCTGTTGAGATAAGGTCAGGCAGCAGAAACCACAGGCTATCACTCAACCCCCTGCCTCTCAACCAGGTGGCCTCTACACTCCATCTCCCCTGCTCCCTCTTCATCAACTGCCTTTTCTGAGGTTGTGGGCTGGGCTGTGATGTCACTGCGGTGAGGAAGCCTGCTCAGAAGAGCATTGGAACTTCCAAGTCACAAGATTTTGAAAATTGTATAAAATGTAACAAGAATAGGTACCTCTTGGCCTTTCCTTTTTCAACTTTGTAAGCAGCATTGTAAAAACTGAAATATCTGGAGTTCCCATGTTTGTTAATATGTGTGAATGGGGCCCAAACATTACACGTTATTTCTTTTCTCACTCTCTCTGGGTTTTTTTTTGTTTTGTTTTATTTTTTTCTTTTGGTCTTTTTTAGATAGGGTCTCCCTGTAGCCCCAGCTGGCCTGGGACTCACTCAGATATGCCTGCCTCTGCCTCCCAAATACTGGGACTAAAAGCATGCACCACCATGCCTGGGTTACAATGAAACTTTTAAAACAGATTATTATCCCTAATGTAGCTGTTATGAATTGGAATGTTTTTAGATGTTAAACTGCTAACATTAAAACTGCCAGTAGTGCTGGGTGTGGTGACACATACCTATAATCTCAGTGTTTGAGAGGTGGAGGCAGGATGATCAAGAGTTCAACTTATCCTCAACTACATAGTGAATTTGAGGCTGTGCCAAATGATTCCCTGTCTTTAAAAAATTAATTAATTAATTAAAATATTTTAAAAATTCTAATATTCTAGAAGAAGAAAGATATTAATCTCCCCAAATTCTGCTTTTTGGTTTTTGTTTTTTTAGTTTTTCTCATTTGGTTTGTTTTCATAGCCTCATTTCAATTGCAATATATGGGACTAGAGAGATGGCTCCGTGATTAAGAGCACTGACTCCTCTTGCAGAAGACCTGGCTTTGACTCCCAGCACCCACCTGGCAGCTAACAACTGTCCCTAACACCAGTTCCAGGGGATCTGACACCTTCTTCTGTCCTCTGTGGGGGTTGCATGACACATGTACACTTATATATACATGAGGCAATACTCATATACATATAAAATAAAAATAATAGCCGGGCACGGTGGTTCATGCCTTTAATCCCAGAACTTGGGAGGCAGAAATAGGCAGATCTCTGTGAGCTCAAGGTCAGCCTGGGCTGACCCTGTCTTCAAAAGACCAAAAAAAAAAAATAATGATAAATAAATAAAATTTCTGGGCTGGAGAGATGGCTCAGCAGTTAAGAACACTGGTTGTTCTTGCAGAAGACCCAGGTTAGAATCCCAGCTCCCACATGGCAGCTAACAACTGTCCGTAACTCCAGTCGCAGGGGATCCGACAGCCTCTTCTGACCTCCGTGGGCATTGCACGACACGGGTGTACTTACCTACATGCAGGCAATACATACATACACATAAAGTAAAAATAATAAAAAAAATCTGTTCATCTTCTACCTA